AGGTCCTTAAAATGGGGCTCGTCGATGTTAAGGCCAGTGAGAATTTTGTGAGACCCCAAGTTCCAAATCCACATTGATCCTCTTTGGTTAAGTTTTTCTTTAGTAGGATATTGGACTATTTCAATTCACTGAAGCTGCAAATCGGAGGTACCATTGTGACCAGGACTGTTGAAATGTTGGCCAACTGGTGTGCTGGAGTTTTTCTGGACTGAATAACAGAAGCCCACAAAGTGCACAAATCCAAAGGTGGAAATGTAGATTAACCCTTTATCTCGGAGGATGGTAAACCATCTATGCTTGGGCCCTCTTTTGGTTCAAAATCTAAATGTGACATATTCATCACAAAATTGTTCATTAAATCAAAATGAATAAACCTAATTGGATCATTCTTTGTCCAGTAACAGAAGTCCGGTAAAAGAGACCTGTTTTTAGCAATTGCTGAAAACTAATTTGATGTCGATGTGGCCGGCCATAAAAGAATTGGCTGAATCGCTGCCACCAGATGACCAGCATAGCGGTTACAACCGGGAACAGCTGGGAGCAGCTTGCATGAAATAAAGGGTTGATAATGCTCAAAATGTGGCAAACTCTTCTCTTCCAGAGTTGGTCTCTGCCACAGCAAAAGCCACAAGTAGTCTTTATTCTTATTTCTTCTGCAGATGCACTGGTCATTATCAGACATTGACAGACAAGAGTGGGTGGTTGGTGGGTGCCCTTGTGTGGTTTGCTCCTTCTTTCCTATAAAAAATCTATCTCCCCTCCTTCTTTTTTGTGTTTGTTACTCTCTTGTAACACCTCTAATCTTCGGCACTTATATGACCTTATTGTGTTGCAAGTGCCGTAAAACTTTTACTAAAACTAAAACACCTGTACTATTGAGTTGTTACTATGTCCAGTGTCCAGCTTCTCTCACACCTGTACCATTAAGTTGTTCCCTTTGTCTGATTCCTGCTTTGTTCACACCTGTACTATTAAGTTGTTACTCTGTCCTGTGTCCAGCTGTTTACGTCTGTACTAATGAGTTGTTACGTTTGTCTGAGTCCAGTGCACACGAAGCTGAAGGACCTGGCATCCTTGATGGAATCGGAGCGGGAGCGTCTCCGGAATATTCTCGACCAGGACGGAGAGGCGGGTCAAGGACAGCAGATCTCAGCTCTCAAACATTCTTTGTTGGAGGTGAGAACTCAGTGTGTCGAGCTGGAATCAATGGTGTCTTGCTAATTACAATGTTTATGGTCTATAATGGTTGCTCAGTTCAGTCTGTGGGTCATTAAAAAACTTTTAAAAAGCAGCAGTCTGCATGTATATGTGAGGCAGCATGGTGAAATCAGGCGCTCGTCAAAATACAGAAATTGGAGTAAGAGTCATTTGGAAATTTTTATCGAATTTTTATTTTTTGGCTCAACTTCTTTAAAGTCCATATAAAAGCACATTTCCATGTGACTCTTACTGAAAAACATTGATTAAAGGCACATAATGTGTCATTTTTCTGTTTTCAAGGACTCTTTAACTATTGGAGGTACCAAACTTTGGCAGCCGTTTTCTTGCTAATTTCACCACTGAAACCAGGTGACCTCACTTCCCTTCAATCACAAATATCTTGAGTTCTATTCAAGATAGATGGATATTTATTTCATTGGAAGCAAGGCAAATAAATCAGCTTTCAGATGATACCAATAACTCCATATGCCCAAAAATTGACAAGCGCCTGATTCCACGGCGTCTTGACACATATGTACTAAGAATAGTTTTAAAGTACTGCGGGCCAACTTTTGTTTCCCTTCTGTCTTTGGGGTGTGTGCCCTTGACAACCCATCTAAAAGCTACAGACAAACACTTGACACTTTTGAGCCACTCAGCCCTCAGATAAATAGCATTTGTATGACGCATATCCCCGCTCAGCAGCAGGCTCTATGCGCTTTACACTATATTATTACCCCGGTAGACCATAGAACACTCTGAAACATTCTCAGCTTCCCGGGAAGCATACAGTGCAAGCAGCTGATTAAGCGCTCAAACACTAACAAACTGACAAGATCTTTCGCTGTCTATAGCCAGGTACTCATTCCCACCTGGGTGAAGTGAGGAAAATTCGTGTAAAGTGCCTTTCCCAAGGACACAACGTCGGGTCCCTGACGGGATTCGAACCCACGACCTTACGGTTGCGAGTCCGAGAGCCTAACCACTAGGCCACCGACGCCACAGATAGTGGAACTGGGTCCTTGAAATTAATTTAAGAGAAGATCTCTTTTCTCAAAAAATTATTTTGACAGAATGCCATGCAAAGTGTGTGGATCGGATTAAAGAGTAAATTTCCTCTTTGGAAGTGGTGGCACAAAGTTCCCCATGCCATATGGATGTGATAGTAAAACACGACGTACTGATGGGTTAACTAAAAAACATTTTTTTTCAAATTAGATTAGATTAAGTTTTTGAAGAACACGTCTGATTTAGATGATTTTATTATTTAATCAAAGTATCAAAATTTATTAAACTATATTATGTGGGCAGAGAGCACCATAGGCAGGTCCTACTTCTTTACATTCTTTGCTGTTTCTGTGTCTGTCTGTCTTTCATTTTTTCACGAATTAGATGACCATTGTTGTATCGATGAGCTTATGGTTGGTTCAAACCTAAACTTACATTTTTTGTTTTCCTTTCTTTCTGTTTTTTCTGCCTTTCTTTCACTTTTTAATGAACTAAATGGTCATTGTTGTATCGATGTGCTTATGTTTTATTCAAAACCTGAACCTACAATTTGTGGGTGGTTGGCGGGTGCTCTGGTGTGGTTTGCTTCTTCTTTCCTATGAAACATTTATCGTCCTTATCTCCACTCCTTCTTTTTTTTATGTTTGTTACTGTCTTGTAACACCTCTAATCTTCTTGCGCTCGTATAACCTTATGCACTTGCGAGCACCGTAAAACCTCTACTAAAACTAAAACCATGAACCTACCATTTGTGTTTTCCAGACTCAGAAACAGAACGTCGAGTTACGGTCGCGTCTTGCCAGGATTCACGCAGACTCTGTCTTGCCGGAGATGGTGCCGACGGCCACTGCCGCCAGCGCTCTCATGTCGCCACTGCCCTCCATGAGGCTGAACCAGGACAAGGCCAACCTGGCACAGAGCCTCTCGCTGGATAGTTTCTCCATGTCGGAGTACTACGACGCTGAGGACAATATCGAGACGATTAGCGAATCTTCCTCGGAGGTGGGTGTTATGAAATGGAAGGGGTGTCTGTCTCCTCTCAGAGATAGATAGATGAGAGAGAGAGAGAGAGAGAGAGAGAGAGAGAGAGAGAGAGAGAGAGAGAGACTACAAGGGAAAGAAAGACGGTGAGAAAGAAAACGGAGATAGCGACAGAGAGAGAGAGAAAGAGATATTGATCAATGAAATAGAGATAGATGAGAGAAGGAGAAAGAAAGAAAGACATTGTGAGAAAGAAAGACAGTGCGAGAAAGAAAGACAGAGAGAGAGAGAGAGAGCGCGCGGAGAGAGAGGGAGGGAGAGAGAGCAATGGAGAGAGAGAGGGAAGGGTTGACTGACTGATTGACAAGACAAACAAAGACATACTGACAGACATACAGAAAGACAGAATAACTCTTCTAAATCATTTTCTGTTTTGTGTAATCTTCTAAGTTTTTATGTTCGATCAAAGATAAGTTTTTCACCACTTGACGTTTAATTTTCAAGAGTAAATCCTATTGTGGTGTTTTCCTTTTGCCAGCCCTCGGATGAAGAAGTGTCGAGTGAAATTTCTGAAGACGGCAATGACACCGACTACAACACTGGTGGAGTTTCAGGTGTGTCTTTGTGTGGTTTATGGCCCTGTCTTGATGTCTTTGTGTCTTTTGTGCTAGGCAATAGAGCTATTTGTGGGTATGTTCGCACTTACTTGTGTATGTCTAAGATATGAGCATATGTCCACATTTCTCATGTATGTAATACAACGCAATAATTTTTGAGCAAGTAGTTTTAAATTCTTTTGTAAAATTGAATTATTAGTTAAACTGCTCTAAAACGCTCTAAAACTCAAAATCTCACTGCTGACTGGTAAAGGTGCGACAGCCATGCTACCGACAGGCATCTGTTAGGTGTAGAATGGAGTAATGTTAGTGTGTTTGGCAGGGGCAATTTTCTGTGTGAAATTATTTTAAAAAGTAAAGTTATTCCCGCATCCGATCCGGACATTGGGGATTGCCTTGTTAGTGAGACTTCCTAGGCCGTTGGCATATTGTGGTAGGGTGGCCAGTTCCTTTCCACGCTGCCTTTACTTTCCCAACTCAAAGTCAGATATCCTTTACTGCTGGGTGGGCAGGAGGGGACGAAAAAATGCGTTTCCGAACTGAGGCTCGAACCCGGACTTTCCACTTCAGAGACGAGCGCACTAACCGCTCCTCCACCATTCCCTTTGTGAGGTGGTTAAAGGGCTTTTAATCGAAGAAGTGCATAAGAATGCTCAATTTCCCCTTAACCCTATCCGTAGGTCATGTTTTATTATTGTATCCATGCGACGTGGGAAACTCTGTGCCATCACTTTCAAAGAGAAAATTTACTCGTTAATCCGATCTCTGATCCCTACACTTTGCACAGCAGCCTGTCAAAATGATTTTTTGAGAAACACTGAAAGTTTTTTAAAGAGATCTTTGTACTAGAAGTATTCCTATGTAAAGGGCATTGAGCTTCTATTTTTTGAAATGCACTATGCAAATGTTATATATTATTATTATTATTATTATTATTATTATTATTATTCTAAAGTGTGGAGAATACATCCCGGGGGGTTACAAAATGATCCCAGGGCATACAGATAGTGTTAAGGGAACCATGAAGAGGAAGTTATTTTCTCTCATGATTTTTTCTTTGGTACCAGAAATGGTGTCGCAGTCCATCTGCGCCACGGGTCGGCGGACGAAGCTGCCGGTGCCCAAGCCTGAGAGCCCAGATGTGAGCCTGTGGAACCTGCTGTACCGAAACATCGGCAAAGACCTCACCAAGATCTCCATGCCGGTCACTCTCAATGAGCCGCTCAGTATGTTACAGGTGAGCCCACGCCGAAGGATTGTCATTTTCTCTCTGCCATTGTTCTTTGTTAATTATTGCTGGATCTTTTGGTGAGCCCACAGCTAATGATTGTCATTCCCTCTCTGCGATTTTTAAAGAGATCTTCGTACTAGAAGTATTCCTATGTAAAGGGCATTGAGCTTCCAGAACTCTCTGCGATTGTTCTTTGCTAATTATTGCTGGGTCTTTTCAGTTATTGATAGATAAGATAAAAGTTCTTAAAGATATTAAGTTCTTCTGTGTTGGAGTTTATTTTCTCACAAGACAAGTTGCTGTTGATCCGTCAGACGCAGATGTTGAAAGAATATAGACACCCTGCCTTGACGTTCACTTTCCGTTACAACAGATACAGAAGCAATTTAACGTACAGATTGTGACCCACAAGGCTCAGCTCAGATAAGGAGACGTACTCTAAGCGTAATACTTCTTTTGCATTAGGTAAAAGTGAGAAGAAATTTTGTTATTCTCATGTGAATTTTTTCTGTCAGCTAAATGACAGTGAAAGAGATAATTGCACTTATTCACAGTTGTTCACTGTTAAAATACTTGGATAGGTAATTTCTTCTTTCTCCCTGTCTCTCTCTTTCTCTTTCTCTCTCTCTCTCTCTCTCTCTCTCTCTCTCTCTCTCTCTCTCTCTCTCTCTCTCTCTCTCTCTCTCTCTCTCTCTCTCTCTCTCTCTCTCCCCCCCTCCCCCCTGTCCCTCCTCTGTCTTTCTTCCACAGTCTCTTCTCTCTCCCCCTCTCCCTCCTCACCTCCTCCCCCCCCCCCCGTCCTTCCCCCCTCTCCACAGCACTCAAATCTCTATTTGTACTCGCACATATCTCTCTGTGCACATATGCTCACACCTAAATACAAACAACCACAACAGAAATGTGCAAAGTGTGAGTATTTGCCTCCCCAAGACATTTTCATTTGTCTGATATTTTTCTTTACCTGCATAGTCAAAGGACTGAACAAAACACTGGTCCTGTGTACAGAGGTGAAGAATTGTCATGGAAAGCAAAGATTATGAGCATGGGTGGTTGGCCGGTGCTCTGGTGTGGTTTGCTCCTTCTTTCCTATAAAAAATCTATCTTCTCTATCCCCCCTCCTTCTTTTTTGTGTTTGTTACTCTCTGAAGATATTTGCGATTGAAGGAAGTGAGGTCCCCTGATTTCAATAGTGAAATTGCGAGAAGATGACTGCCGAAGTTTGGTATCTCTTATAGCTAAAGAGTCCTTGAAAACAGAAAAATTACATACTTTGTGCCTTCAATCAATGTTTTTCAGTAAAATTCACACAGAAATGTGCTTTTATAATAATATGGACATAAAAGAGGTTAGGCCAAAAATAAAAATTTGATAAAAATTTCCAAACTGGCGGAAAAATGCCTGTTTCTTTGATTTCTGTATTTTGACGAGTGCCTGAATTCACCACGCTGCCTCACATATCATTTCATTCTGAATTTATGAAACTTGAACACAAAGTTTGGGAAACAAGGATATAATATTGGAAGGACAACACATCTTTCCTGTAATGTCCTTTTTTTGAATTTCCTGATTTCTTCTTCATAATATGATACTGACCAGTCCACTTTGTGTTTTTCTGTGCTGTGGCCAGCGTCTGTGTGAGGAGCTGGAGTACAGTGAACTGCTGGACAAAGCTGCTGATTACGATGACCCCTATGAACGAATGGTGAGTGGAAACATGGCGTTTACTTGTTGTCTTTTTTTTCAATCCCACATTTGTTTTTTGGAGAAAAAAAAAAGTTTCACTATCACGTTGATTATAAATAATGTCTTCTCAGCAGAGGGCCACAACATCAAATTTTATATATGTGTTTTTACGATATACAACAAAACATACAGGTCTAAGGGTTAGTCGGTATTTGTTGTATGATGAAATTTATGTTGAATTTCAAGTCATGAGTCATCATCATCATCATTACCTTTCTTACCCTGCACCAGGGTATAGGCCACGGACAAACACTTTCTTACCCTGCACCAGGGTATAGGCCACGGACAAACACTTTCTCACTCTGCACCAGGGTATAGACCATGGACAAACACTTTCTTACCCTGCACCAGGGTATAGGCCACGGACAAACAGTCTTCACCTTTCTCTGTCCTAGGCTAGGCTCTTGATGTTATTCCATGTCTTCCCACTTTTCTGTACATCAGACATGAGTGCCAAAGATTTACTATACACTACATGTACTTCTTCCTGAGCTGGTTGTTTTAGGACACCACCTGTTGCGTCTACTTCTTTGCTCTACCGCCTTGTTTCTGTTTACCTGTTTTACTTCATCCCCCAGCTCTAAAAGACAGTTTTTGCATCGATGTGCTACACATGAACTCGAACTCTCTTTCCGTCGGTGGTTGGTGGGTGTTCTGGTGTGGTTTGCTCCTTCTTTCCTATCGAACATCTATCGTCTTTATCTCTCCTCCTTCTTTTTTGTGTTTGTTACTTTCTTGTAACACCTCTAATCTTTGACACTTATATGACCTTATTGTGTTGCAAGTGAAAAACTCTTACTAGAACTTAACGAACTCAAACTCTCTCTCACAAATGCCTGTTATGCTGTTCCCAGATCTATGTTGCTGCCTATGCTGTTAGTGGCTATGCCAGCTCCTACTACCGGGAGGGACATAAGCCGTTCAACCCTCTGCTGGGAGAGACATATGAGTGTATACGAGAGGACAAAGGCTGGAGGTTCATTGCTGAGCAGGTCTGTACTAGCACAAAGAAAGTGAAGAAAGAGTAAAATAAAAAAGAGACTTTCATTGGGTCTCTTTTAAAGACAAACGGGCTAACCGAGATTTCGGGGTTTTTCAGAAATCTTGACTTACACCAAAAGTGGGCAACCTATAGAAAAAGTTTGGTTTTGTTTGTGTGTATATTTGTTTGGTTATAGAGAAAAGTCTCCTTGTCTTTTAAAGACACTGAACAAGGGGCAAAAACTTGACCTTCGATTTTCTCCATACAGCTTTTTTCGGGATAGCCCCCTTGTGCTTAAAAGCAATCATTTGTTCTTGTGGAAATTGTTTGCGATGCTGTGCATGAACAATCAAAGCCTGTAGTAAAGCACTAGACTTTTAAGACAGCATTAACCGTCAATTCGAGTATTCATATATCTGTTGCAAAAGAAGGAGGTCAAAAGGTAGAGAGGGGAAGAGGACAGCTACGTTGATAGATTAATAATTTACTAATCTATAAAATGTGTGGATGACCCTGGTTTGAATCACCAATTGGTCATTCTTGTTGAACTCCGCTGGTTTTGTGGAGTTTTCAAGGCTCTCAATCCATTTTGCTCCATCCTATCAGTGGTTGAACTTAAAATTTGGAGGTCCCACCTCTTGAATAACCTAAGTGTTGAAAGGGGTGTTTATAACCCATACACCAACTTACTTTAGTCCCATGATTCATACAGCGCAAGTGGGTCTGCCACATGATAAGCTGTATTCGAGTAATTCTGGACATAATCATTTTAACCAATACCACTCACAAAATACCTTGGTCAAATCTGTTATGTATTTTGAATAGATGGAGATAAATATTTGTATCTCAGCTGTGAAGCTAATTGTATGAGGAGTATTCTAAGAATTAAGTGGCAGGATAGAATAAGAAATGAAGAGCTGTGGGAAAGGACAGGACAAAAGGATATAGAAGTAGAAATAGGACTAAGAAAGTGGCGATGGATAGGACTCACCTTAAGAAAGCTCTGCGGAAACATCTCAAGACAGTCACTGCAGAGGAACCCACAAGGAGCACGAGGCAGGGGTAGGCCACGGGAAACATAGAGGCGATGCGTGGAAAGGGACATGAGAGAAATGAAGCTCACTTAGAACGAGCTTGGAAGGATGGCTCAAGACAGAGATAAATGAAAGGAGCTTGTATGTGGCCTATACCCTGCCAGGGGTGAAAGGCATTGATGATGTGAAGCTAAGTTTACACTGTGTATTGACCCTGGTCAGCCTATGTAGCTAATCATGATGAATGAGGAAGTAGAAGCGAGAAGAAATTAGTCAATGATAGCAGTTGTCTAACTTTTAAATGATACTGATCTTGTTTCTGATGCATCTGCTATGAGTTTTATTGGTACAGAGTTAAGGACACAACTGAATTTTCTCTGTGGGCTGCTTGAAGAGATGAATGTTGCTGTCTCGTTTGTGATTTGTGAAGACAAGTCTGTATGTGTCACGACCCAGTGGAATCAGGCGCTCGTCAATTTTTTGGCATATGGAGTTACTGGTGTCATCTTAAAGGTTATTCATTTGCCTTGCTTTCGATGAATAAGATATCCATTGATCTTGAATTGCAATTGAGGTATTTGCTTTTGAAGGAAGTTGGGTTGTCTTGTTTCAGAAGTAAAATTAGCAAGAAAATGGCCGCCAAAGTTTGGTGACTTCCATAACTTTAGAGTCCTTGGAAAGTGCAAATTTACACTGTCTGTACCTTTAACTAACATTTTCCATAAAATCCACACATACAGGGTTTTTTTAATGGACTTACAAGGTGTTGAGCCAAAAAAAACAAAAATTCGAAAATAATGTCCCAACTGGCTGAAAAATGCTGATTTTTTTTACTTCATTATCTTGACGAGCGCCTGCTCTCACCACGAATCCTCAAATATGTACGTTTGTGTCTATCCACAGGTTAGCCACCATCCCCCCGTCACAGCGTGCCATTGCGATTCGAGAAACTTCACCTTGTGGCAAGGTATGCTCAGGCAGGATTACAAAAGAAAATTGTTCATAATAATAATAATAATAAATGACATTTATATTGCTCTCAACCCCGATTAAAGTACACAGGCTCTGAGCGCTTTACAATACAGTACAACGTACAACAGTAACATAAAATGTTGTGTTCTGACTAAAGAAAATTATTCCAAATATCCATCTTATTAATTTAAAAACAGAAATGACTTCAGCTGACATTTGAATGAATCAGAAGATTTGATCTCTCTTAAAGTACTTTGTAAAGCATTCCAGATCTTAGGGCCTAGGTATTCAAATGCCCTTTCACCCATTGTTTCAAGTTTCATAGATTGTAAAATAAATTTCTTTTTGTCAGCTGTTGTAAAGTTCTTGTGTCTGTTTTGACATGGTGACAGATTTTCTCAATATGTCGAGAGTCACTTGGTCTAGTTGTTGTGCATATCTTCAAAGTGAATGGTCTCAGTTATTTTTAATATTTTCTATTGAATTAAGAAAAAAAAAAAAAAAACCAAAAAGCCTTCCATATTTCATGTCGTTTTTTAAATTAGGCCACGATGATTTCTCACGATTATTTTTTTGTCAAATCTTGGAAATTTGTTTGTGCATTTGTACTCTTTCATGACGTGGAGGTCTTCTTCTATCCCCCGTGGTTGGGGCAACCGTGGGGGCACCACTGCATCTTAAAACCAGCTCTCGCCATCTATTTTTGTCCTCTGCTTTCCTCAGATTGTCACCCATCGTCTTTCCTGTCCACTCTGTGATGTTGTCCTCGCATCTCCTTCTCTGCCTTCCCTCCTTTCTCTTTCCTTGTACGGTTCCTTGCAGGATTGTTTTGGCAAGTCTTGTGGATCTTGTGACTTGCCCTTACCATTTTAATTTTCCTCTCTTCACTGTGGTCAGTAGATCTTCATACTGCCCCACTGCGTTGGTGATTCTCTTTTGTACCTCAGCATTTGAAACATGGTCTTTGTACGAGATGTCAAGGAGTCTGCGGTAACATCTCATCTCTGTGGTCTGAATCTTTTTCTCTAATTCTGTTGTTAGTGTCCTCAACTCGCAGGCGTATAAAGATATTGAGATGACAAGTGAACGCATTAGTCTGATTTTTTAGTTGTGCGTGGAGGTAGGACATATCAATAAGCATAAGGCCATGATGGGTCTATTTCATTTTGTCTGAAGTCAGACTTGTGCCATTGTCGTAATGGGTGGTTGGCGGGTGCTCTGGTGTGGTTTGCTCTTTCTTTCCTATCAAACATCTATCGTCTCTATCTCCCCTCCTTCTTTTTTGTCTTTTTTACTCTCTTGTAACACCTCTAATTTTCGGCACTAATCTGACCTTATTGTGTTGCAAGTTCCGTAAAACTCTTAACTAAAGCTACAAAAACCATTGTCATAGCATGGTAATGATAGTTTTCTTCACAGATATTAAATATCAGACATAATCTCCTCTCCTTCTTTTCTGAGGTATATGAATGAATTGTGTAGCAAGTGCCTTATAAGTCATACTAAAAATGAAACTAAGAACAGATATCAGACTTCATCATCATCATCATTGCCTTTCTCTCCCTGGGTCAGGATATAGGCCACGAACAAACACTGTCCACCTTTTTCTATCCTGGGCTAGTCACTTGATGTCACTCCATGTCTTCCCTCTTTTCTGTACATCCATTTCCATGACTCTTCTCCAGGTTCCACGAGGTCTTCCCCTTGATCTTTTACCCTGTGGGTTCCAATCTAACACTTTTCTTGTTATGCTTGTTATATCAGACTTAGACATTTTTATTTTTTTTTCTCTGAAATATTTTATTGTTTTGTTTTGTTTGCAGACGTAAGAATGAAGACAAAGTTCTGGGGAAAGTCGATGGAGATCCAGCCACTGGGACATGTTCATGTCATCTTGCCGAAGTGAGTCTCACAGTCTGATCATGTGTCTGCTTGTGGCTTCGGTGGCTTAGTAGTTAGGCTGCCGGACTCTTAATCGTGAGATTGCGGGTTTGGGGGTTCGAGCCTCAGTTCGGTCCGACGTTGTGTCCTTGGGAAAGGCACTTTACACGAATTTTTCACTTGGCTTGGTCCTTTTGGAGACGGACATTAAACTAGGAGGCCTCATAAATAACCTATTAGTGTTGATAGGGGCGTTAAACCCATACCATTTCTCCATTTTTTATTGACGGGTGCTCTGATATGGTTTGCTTCTTCTTTCCTGTCAAACATCTATCGTCCTTATCTCCCCTTCTTCTTTTTTATGTTTGTTACTCTCTTGTAACACCTCTAATCTTCTGGCGCTCATATGACCGTATGCAGTTGCGAGCGCCGTAAAACCTCTACTAAAACTTTTAAAAAAATACATACTGACTTTTGTTTCCCAAATTTATATATTTGGTTTGGGTTGGGTTTTTTTTAACCAACTACACTCTTTCTGATATATCCCGTCAGGTATCGCGACCACTACAAATGGAACAAGGTGACCACGTGTGTTCACAACTTGCTGGGTGGGCAGCGGTGGGCTGACCAGTACGGAGAGATGACCATCACCAACAACAACATTGTCTGTAAACTCACGTTCACAAAGGTATGTCTGTGGGTGGGTGGCGGGTGCTCTGGTGTGCTTTGCTCCTTCTTTCCTATCAAACATTTATCGTCTTTATCTCCCCTCCTTCTATTTTGTGTTTGTTACTCCCTTGTAACACCTTTAATCTTCGGCACTTCTATGACCTTATTGTGTTCCAAGTGCCGTAAAACTCTTACTAAGTGGTTGGTTGGCGGGTGCTCAGGTGTGGTTTGCTCCTTCTTTCCCGTTAAACATCTATCGTCCTTATCTCCCCTCCTTCTTTTTTGTGTTTGTTACTCTCTTGTAACACCTCTAAGCTTCGGCACTTATATGACCTTATTGTGTTGCAAGTGTCGTAAAACACTTACTAAAACTAAAACTAAAAGGTATGTCTAGAAGAAGTTTGGCTTTTCAACTAAGTAATGAGGACATCATAGACAGAAAGGAGAACAGATGAAATTGGCTCAAGACAAGCTGGTCTTGATTAATACCTTGGAAAAAGATCTTTTGATGATTGTGGTGCCACAACGGAGAAAAACCTGATCATTGTTGAACAAAATGAAGAAAAGTTTGTTGGGGTAAGAAATGTTTAAATATATGTTTTCTAGAATATATCCTTTGCCAAGGTTTCGATTTTGTAACTTTCATGGAAAAGAAAAGAAAGGTAAAATAATTATTAGATGGTGTTGTGCTTTCTTGAACTGCTTAAACCTGGACCCAGTTTCCATAAGTGTTGTTAATTTCTTATGAAGACATGCAGGTAGTGTGAGTTTCATAGCCCCCCCACCCCCCCGCAATCGGGACTGTTGTTCCGCTCCCGCCACACACACACACGTACACACACACACACACACACACACACACACACACACACACACACTCACACACACACACACACACACACACACACACACTCACACTCCGCTATACTCCACTCTCTTACTCTCTCTCTCTCTCTCTCTCTTTCTCTCTCTCTCTCTCTCCCTCCCTCCCCCTCTCTCTCTCTTTCTCTCTCTCTCTCTCTCTCTCTCTCTCTCTCTCTCTCTCTCTCTCTCTCTCTCTCTCTCTCTCTCTCTCTCTCTCTATCTCTTTCTTTGTCTTTCACAAATCATCCCTGCTTGGTGTGTCAAATCTGAATTAAAACATGCAATTGCCTCTCAGGGTTCGAACCACCGGTCCCCCAAACGCTACGAAGTGTTTGGCAGTATCCAGACAGCAGAAGGGAAGGTCGTTCACAACCTATTTGGCAAGTGGAATGAAGCGTTTTTCTGCGGCCACGCCTCCTCTGCTCGGTGTATCTGGCGGCCAGGTGAGCTGGATGGTTGGGATGTTGTGTTTACTTACTTACTTACCTGGTTGAAGGATAGGCATCTTTGCAGGTGGCACATGGCCATAGCTGCATGCTCCTCACTCTTCTCCAGGATCCATGAAACGATCTGCCTGCTGATCGTGCTAGTTAACAGCTGGTTGGTTGTTGTGTTCTTGTACGTGTGAGCAAATAGGTCATTTTGAAGGAAGGCAGACTCACGTAAAATGGAAATGTGGCAGGAGTTATTCCTTGCAAGTATGTCTCTCTGCTTTTCATTGGTTTTTTTTTGCCCATTTGATATTTTGTTTGGTCAGAGCATTTTCTACTTATGACAGAATGTTTTCAGCTTCGAAACAATAGTTCTGACAGTTAATTGAGGATTTGTATATTTCATTTTTTTTCAGCCTCCCTTTTTGTTTTCATGGGCTTTTGTTTCATTTCCTTGCGTTTGGAAATATTAAGTTAAATTAAAACTAGGACTCCTGCTGTATGAATGAATATATGATAACAAAATCAAAGAAAGCAAAATCCCCCCAGCATTCAGTTTTTATCATGTTTTCCACGTGTTGATTGACTGTGCTCATTGTTTACTAACCAAAACTGAGTCGATAGTTCTGTAAAACACCTACTCAAACAAACAAACAAACAATCAGTGTTTAGAGACGCTCAAGTATTCTCTCTGTTGGAATTGTACTGCTTTTAGGGGAAACGTGTCCAAAACAGTCACCTATTCAAACAACAACTTCCCTCTTCTTTCCTTGTATTTTCTTATATCAAAATGACATTGTCCAAGACATCCATTTGTGTAAGAAAAACATTTATTCCCTGCAATTTCAACGGTAATGAGTACAGTTGCGAGTCCAAGAGCCTAACCACTAGGCAACCGAGTAGAGTAACATGCCACTGAGGATAGGTCACGCCACCTCTCAGAGTAACTAACGTGCCACTGTTTTCTCACAGGAGCAATGCCCGAGAACCACGAGCTGTACTATGGGTTCACCCGGTTCGCAATAGAGCTCAACGAACTGGATCCGGACATGTCCAAGTACTTGCCGCCCACAGACTCTCGGTTCAGGCCGGACCAAAGGTCAGTTGTCGGTGGAGAGAGAGAGAGAGAGAGAGAGAGAGAGAGAGAGGGAGAGGGAGAGGGAGAGGGAGAGGGAGAGGGAGAGAGAGAGAGCAAAATTAAGATGTGGTTTCTTTTGTGTATTAAAAAAAATTAGCCACTTTTAAAATTTACCATGTGCTGTTGTGATAGATTGTCGCAAGTTATCTGCTAATGTCACATTACATGTACTAGTCAGCTGCGCTATACTTTTATATATGAAGACTACAGGTGAAAAACGACGGTAGTCACAAACTGAAAATCGGGAGTGTGCCAATTCTGAATGCTTGTTCAATCATAACTGTATTTCTGTTCAACTGTTGGTTGATTATTGTTGTTAGATTTCTCTCTCAACAACTCTTAACAATAAAACACCAGTCAAACAAATATGAAGTTATGAGTCCACAAGCTTTTTAAATTGGCACCCTCACAATTTCCAGTTTGTGACTATCGTCGTTTATTCCCTTTAGTCTTCATATGTATCTTTGGTTTGATTTTCAGTGTTGTTTGATGTCAACTTGTAGTTATTAAATTATTTTTTTTTACCACAAACAAACTTGTTGCTCTCTGACTGCAGACTGCTGGAGGAAGGAAAGATCACAGAGGCCGAGGCGGAGAAAAACAGACTGGAGAATGCACAAAGAGAACGACGGAAGATCAAGGAGGGCAGTGGAGAAGACCCCCAACCCATGTGGTTCAAGTAAGTTTTTTTAACCCTATCCGTACGTCGTGTTTTACTATCATATCCATACGACGTGGGGAACTCTGTGCCCCCACTTTCCAAAGAGAAAATTTACTCATTAATCCGATCCGTACGCTTTGCATAGCAGTCTGTTAAAATGATTTTTTGAGAATTACTGAAAGTTTCAAAGAGGTCTTCGTATTTGAAGTATTCTAAAATGTGAAGAATACAAACCGGGGGTACAAAATGACCCCAGGGCGTACGGATAGGGTTACGGTGTACTCTCTTCTGCTTCTCGACCTCTCTATGTACCATTGTCACTGGTAAAGATCAAGTTAAGGTCTCCTCCATGTGAAACGTGTATGACAATGTACATACATCCCTAGTCTCCACTGTGGGTGGTTGGTGGGTGCTTTGGTGTGGTCTGCTCCTTTTTTCCTATGAAACATCTATCATCCTTATCTCTCCTCCTTTTTTGTGTTTGTTACTCTCTGGTAACACCTCTAATCTTCTGGCGCTCATATGACCTTATTGTGTTGCAAGTGCTGTAAAACTCTTACTAAAACTAAAACAGGTCTCCTCTATCTGTGGGGCCGACATAGGGCAGGTTGCCCTGAAGTCATGTACAAAGACTGTTTTGAGCTATTTTTTAAAGGGAGACATACTGGACCTTTACATTCTTCTTACTCATCCCCTTAGGGAAGTTTGAGATGCAATTTTAATGAACAGCTTTTTCATAGCTTTTGTATAGCACAAATTTCCACTCAGCATTAAGCTCTATGTGCTTTACAAATCTAAGTTATTACAATACCCAAGTAGACCTGATAGTGTTCTGAAGCAATCTCATCTTCCTTGGAAGCATATGGTGCAAGCTGCCATTTACCAGGTGCTACAACACTAACACAATGACAAGATCTATTGCTGTACTATGTGTCTATGAATAAATGTAAAGATTAAAGCATATGGCGCCTGTGGCCTAGTGGTTAGGCTCTCGGACTCGCAACCGTAAGGTCGTGGGTTCAAATCCCGTCAGGGGCCCGACGTTGTGTCCTTGGGAAAGGCACTTTGCACAAATTTTCCTCACTTCACCCAGGTGGAAATGGGTACCCAGCTATAGACCGAGAAAGGTATTGTCAGTTTGATAGTGTTTAAGCGCGTGAAATCCACAGCTTGCACTGTATGCTTCCGCGGAAGCTGAGAATGTTTCGGAGTGTTCTATGGTCTGCTGGGGTAATAATATAGTGTAAAGCGCATAGAGCCTGCTGTTGAGCGGGGATATGCGCTATACAAATGCTATTTATTATTATTATTATTAAGCAACGTGACTTGTTCTATACTACCATAGTACTGACAATACAAACACATCACTACTGGTTACAACAGTGGGGCAGAATGTAATTTTTTAGCTGGGGTCAGCGTGTGTTGCTCAAAGACACACTTTAGAAACCATTCATTTAGATGCCTTGTCAATAAAGAAGTTACTGCTGGCTTTATGCTAAAGTAATGCTTTCAATAAATACAGTGTGGTTCTGTAATAATTAATTTTACAGATAAAGTCTTCATGACTGACATTGATGAACTATCATTACATCTAAATCCTTACTGGATTGATAACAACATCTAAATCGCTGTTCCCATACTTTTAGGAGAGGGAAAAAAATATGTGTTCCCCCCCCCCCCCCAAATCCATCCAAACTAAAGGCAATGTTTGGACAAAGTTGCTCATGATGGTCTTCTCTGTCTGACGTTGTCTCCTTGGGAAAGGCACTTTACATGAAATTCCCATTCCATTTGGCTTGATCCTTTCGGAGATGGATGTTTAACTCAGAGGTCGTGCCCCTTAAATAACCTAATGCCATTGATAGAGGCGTTAACTCTTTGATCCCCGTCGGACGCTGGGAGCGTCCAGTACTAGTGACAACTGTTTTGTTTTATTTAGTGCTAGTTTCTTCTTGTTTTTCAGAACTATTCCGTACCAAGTTTTTTTTGGTAATGACTAAGCCTTTGTATCCGCTATTTAGAAGTTGGAGGCAAGCTTTTGGGTTATAATGAGACATACTGCACCAGGTTTAGGTGACTGAGGTAAAAATCTCCGGGAAACGGTGGAAAACATTCGGGGCTTAAAGAGTTAAAAAGTTCAACCCATACCTTTTCACCATTTTCCTGATTATCTCCCATGCATTTTTTGTCTGTGTTTGTTTCTCCAGGAAGAAGTTGCTGGATGCTGGGAAGACCGAGGCCTTTGAGTACGACAAGAAGTACTGGGAGGCTCGCAAGGACCCGGGCTTTGCCCGCATGTCATTTGTTCACCTGTTCTGAGGCAGTTTCCACCACAAAGACACCGAATCTCCTGTTACCCTGATCGACTCCTACACTCTTCAATATGCGTGGAATAATATCTTTCGAGGAAGTTCTTTGATACTATAATACTATTATATTGGACTCTAGTTGAAGCCCATTTATGTGGACTGAGGAAGTTCTTTGATAGTATATTATTATATTGGACTTGATTTGAAGCCCATTTATATGGACTTACTTTTTGGAGTTTTGCAGGATGATTTCTGTTCCTTTGGGGTTTTTTTTGTTGGTACTGTGTACACAGAATGGGGAACTTAGAAATAGGTTAGGCCAGTGACAGCTGTTAACTCTTTAACCACGTCTGGACGGTGGCAGCGTCCGGTAGTCGAGGTCCGTAACCATGGCTGCACGGTACCACCGTCTGATGGGAAGTTATTATTGTATTATGGTATGGACCAAATATAAAAAAGTATGAGCTGACAAGTCCTTAGTTTGACTCGCAGTCAAAGATGAATGAATTCTATGTCTAGGTAATGCTTTATTGATCAGCTTGACACGAAAAAAGCAGTTTTTAAAACGTAATATGTCGGGTCGCATTTCCACAAACACGAGAGAATTACGATGAAACATGATTTTAAACTGGGTGGTTAAAGAGTTAATAATGAACCTGCTAGCATTTGATGATCAAGATAATGAACTTGTTATTGGTTTTCTTCACATCGTTTGCCTGCTTTTTCTGATGTAATCAGCCCAACATTTTCAGAATTTTGGGAATCTGTGGTAATGGTTGCTTGTGGTTTAGGTATTTTTTAGAAAATTAAATTTTAAATTTTGAAAAAAATGCAAGAAAGGTTTGGTCAACATACTATAGGAATAATCTGTTTAAAAAATGAAACAGTATGTACTGTCTTCTTAAGAATTTTGCTTTCAAGGCTTAAAATACTTGTAGGTGAACAGCTGTGGTTTGGAGCTTGCCAAGGCGTTTCCCGCCAATTAGCATATGGTAAATACAGCAAGGTTTTGTGTGAAAAACACTTTTTAAAATATTTTTGTAATTATAACCTTGAGAAATTTCTTTCGGTGTATATATTGATATATGTTTGGAAGAAATTTGCTCAGAATAAGAGCATTCCACATGCGTTTGATGACTGTGCGGTCCCACACCGACCCCTCACACCAACAAAACTACCCCATACTGACCAAACCCACAACCACACCTATATCTAAAGGGCAACTATTATTTTTCTTACCTCAGGTAACAAGAGTTAATTATTATTCTCATCCCAATTGGCTGTCTTGGTGGTTATTTCGCGTATTGACACTGATCACAATTTAATTGTCTACATCAGCTGCTTTTGACAGATGGATTTTTTTACTCGTTTTATTTAGACTCTATAACCACAAATTGAGGGTGTTGGTCACAAAATTGCTAGCTTGGTCAAAGCTTTTTTTATACAAGTGACAGAAAAATTGTGTTGATTCTGTCTTGTTTTATGTAATTTCGAAGCTCTTTTAGTTGGCGTTTTTTTCTCTCAATTCGCCTGTATGACTCTCTAATCAGTCTCTTATTTTCATGGTTTCACACATGTTCATGGTATCCATTACATGAAAAGTGTAAGGAACGCTGCTCCATGTAAGGAAATCTCAACACATAATTGTCATTGTTTTCATATACACAGTTGGTTCATTTACATATTATCAATCTGTATTCTGATATTGAGCTGTCAATTTTCGTTATGGTGCAACACTTGAGAGCCAAAGAGGCTTTGTGCTCTCTTACACATTCGATATACACACACGCACACACACACACTTGTGCACGCACACACACACACACAAACACACACAACTACATGTTTAAAGGCATACATCTCTAAACAGATCTGTTGAATGAGTCTCAGACTTTGTCAGTTTGTGCCCCACACCCTTGAAATATAATCCTGGAGAGGGATGGACGCCGCCAGGCTAACTTTGCCCAGACACGCCACATGTTGCTGTTGTTGTTTTCCAATTCCTTTAGCTCCGAACATTTCATGACGGCATGAACATGTACTGAGCACCAATGTCTCCAAGCCCGCACCCTTGACTGTCTGAGGTGGAGACACCTGGTGCATTGCAGCTTTCAGCAATGCAGGGCTCCCATGACTTTGGGAATGGTTATAGTACTTTGCCCCCTCAGGGCGCCGATCGGTGACGGTGAGATGTAGCGTGTACCGCATCTGTATTGTGGTCTGTGGGGATAAGTGTTGTGCAGTGCGCACTGCGTGGGTGGAAAGTGTGAAGGGATAAAGTAATTCATGACCCTTGAGCTAGTGGTTTTTTACCAAGTTTTTTGCGGTTTACACTATAAAGACCATCCATGTCAGGGCCATTACATTTTTTGTGGTTCTGATGTACTAAAATACTTTTACCTTTCTCTCTTTTTTAATCTAACAAACAGGCATGGCTTCCTCGGAAATCTTTGTAATGTTTCAGCTTGGTATTTCGAGAACAGATAATTTTTTGGGTCGTTTTTTTCTTTTTTGCTTACGTAGTTTTAGTGCAATAGACAGCTGCTTATTTTTCTTCAAAGAGCTTCAAGTTTAGCAGGCCTAGTGGGGTTTTTTTCTACTAGTCTGTGAATAAGCAGAGTTGGGAACACTCTTGAGTGGTGTGTCATTTTGCCCCTTTGCTTTCCCTTCTTGTGCTTGAGGGCAAGGATTGTAGATGGTCACAGACTCTTTGTGGGTTTAGTTTTATGTCATATGATTTGGAGTATCATTGTACTACAGATTTAGTATGTGGTATCGGGAAGTGATCACAGGAGTAGCGTAACTGATCCGGCTTTCGATTTTGCAAGTAAAAACATTTGGCGCCAAAAATGAAAAAAAGGCGTTTTGTCAGCATACGGCCTGGATCGGAAAAGTAAAGTCAGCATACGGCAGAGTTGATGTGATATCTCGTATGTTGTTCTGCCAACTGCCAAATTGATGGCTTGGCCTACTGAGCTTCTGGTGCAAGTTGACATGAAGGTGACCTGCTTTTGCTTTCTCTTGAAATGTTTTTTTCTTTTTTGATTTTTACAGTGAAACTGCACTGTGTAGAGAAATGGGTAAGATGAAGAGTGTACTTTAATATGAAAGAAATCTCCCTGCTAAGAGAGTGCTTAGAAAGAAAGTACCATAAAAAGAGAGAGAGTACTATAAATGACAGTACTAGGAACGAGAGTGCCATAAACGGAGTACCAAAATTGAGGGAACTAGGAAAGAGTAGAATAAAAGAGAACACTATGAACAAAAGTAAAAGGAAAGAGAGGCACTACGAGTATAACAGAGAGTAACACTGTTGAAAAGAGAGTACCATAAAATAGAGTACTGTAAATGAGCCTACAAGGAAAAAGTACTGTAAAAGAGAATATTATAAATGAAAGTACAGAGAAAGAGTACAGGAAAAGAGTACATTATAAATGAAAGTACAAAGTAAGAGTATCGGAAAAGAGAACATTATAAATCAAAGAACAGAGAAAGAGTTCAGTACAAGAGAATATTATAAATGAAAGTGCAAAGAAAGAGCACCGTAAAAGAGAATATTATAAATGAAAGTACAAAGAAAGAGTACCATAACAGAAAGCACAGAAACGGGTAAAATAATGAGATAACTGTGAAGAGAGGGCTATGATGAAAAAACCAAAGTTGCCTGTGTCGAATAAGACTAGGACAAATTGTATTTTACTTTCTCTTTGGCTGTTCCGTTATGGTTTTTTAAAATTGCAAGTGGTGGGGTAGATACGCGTTTTAAACCCATAAAAACTAGTTGCTTGCGACACCCACAATCCACAATTAGCTGATTGCTATGCTTTTGGAACATGTTTTAGTTTTTTCTTCTGACTTGAGGTCACATGTATAATTATAATAAATTTTTGTTAACAGACTTTCAGCATACGGTTTAGACATGTTAGAAATTGTTTTCTATGATGAGGTTGAAAGAATGAGTTATTTTGTCTGCTGAGAAGCTTTCGCCATTCACATAATTCTGACATTTAATGGCTTTGGAATAACATTCAGTCTGGATTTTTGTCCATGTGGCCCGACTGCCTCTATGAAGCTGCTGCCTCTTTTTTCCTGTCTTAGAAATTATAAGAGTACTCAGAACAGTACGCGTTGATTGTGTTGAAACCTTTGTCACATCTGGCTTATTTTTTTATACATTTCGACACTGTGTTTTCTGAGTCATCACAGCTGTGATTCCTGCTGTTAAATTTTGTTTCGAGATTTGAACTATTATGTAGCGTGTATTTCCTAACACTTTGCCCCCTCGGGACGCCGATCGGCGACGGTAAGAAGCCGTCCCTTTTCACCATGGGACGCCGATCGGTGATGATGTGACATAGCGTGTACCGTACCTGTATCCTGGTCCATGGGGATAAGTGTTGTGCCCTCTGCGTGGGTGGAAAGTGTTAACCTAATTCTGTTAATGGACTGGGCTTTTATCAGCCCTTTCTGGCTATTGAATGTCGTACATAATTTTTTCCTCATGCAGTCTGCAAGAGACGTAAAAGATTGATGGACTTTCAGTTCTAGTGACTTTCTGGTATCATTACAAAGTGCTTGAAGTGCAATACGCAATGTTGGTACGTACGTGTGGTGTTTTATCTGGACTGATCTGCTTTGTCTTTATGAATGCTACCCGTGGGTTTTGTTACTATTTTGACCTTGAACTTGGTTATGGCCTCGCTGCCACGACCCCTCCTTTCTTGTCATGAGCTAAGTGCACTTAGATATTTCATGTGTTTTATGCTGGGCATTGCATTAGTTGTCACAATCGTACTGTTTACCTTGCCATATCTTTGAGAGTTGTTTGGACTTTTGTAACATCATTCCTCCCCCTCCTCCAAGTCTCTTCTCTTTCTTACCTGTACATTAAGGACTATTCTCGTCCAGGGGTTAAGCTCGATTGTCACAGCTAATTTCATTCCCATACTTCATGGCTGAGATAATGTGAGATTTTCCTCATGTTTTGTTGGTCTTTTCTTTCTTTTTTTTTTTTTGGTTGGGGGGCTGTTGGTTACGTTTTATTCGTACCTTTTAAATTTTCCAATATGCGTCATAAGCTTCTCCTCGATTTGTCTTAATTGCATATTTTTCCAATATGCGACATAAGCTTCTCCTCGATTTTTCTTAATTGCATATTATACAACAGCCTGTCTGTATATCAAGGGATTTCAAAGAGCAGTAAGGTATTGAGGAAACCATTGTCAGGGTGTTTGTATGTTGCATTCTTATTACAATACAAGCCTTTGGAATCTGTGACAAAGGTGATGGACTGTATGTTGTCATAAAGGAACACCTTTTGGGTTCATAGTTGATCGTATGAAAAAACTTTGATGATCCTTGCTGTGGGCAAACAATGCATTATCAGCATTTTTACTCTTTATCTCCGTGGGGGGGGGGAGGGGGGGGGTAAACCTACTATGCCGGGCCCCTTCTTTGGTACAAAATCTAAAAATGACAGAAACGTCTCTAAATGGGTCGTTAAATCAGAACAAGTGAATCTATTTTGATAGTTCTTCATCTAGTGACTGAACTTCCGATAAAAGATACCTGTTGTCGGCAATTGCCGAAAAGCTATACTGTCACATAAGAAGTCAAGTCTCTTTTCTAGCCCCCAGATGCTTCAGCAAATATTGAAGTAATTAGACAGTGTGTGAGACGGCCAGGACTGAGTTAAAAAAAGGAAGGAAGAACTGTTTAGTTTTATGCTCTGCCAATGAGTGAATAACGTTGATCAGCCTACCCTGATATTCTTTATTAATGTTTATCTCATCATGGTATCATCATATAACCTGTTATTATTCATGTATGATTTGTAGTCTGAATCAGTATACCTCAATAATTGCTTTTGAGTGTCGTGCTTCATTTAAATAAAACGATTATGTTATACGTAACGGGGACTTCGGTGCATTGCTTATTACTTATTATATCCTGTTGCTATGTTATTCTTGTGCCTGTTTTTCGTTTCAGTACCTGTCTGTGTGGCAGGATTTTGTACAGATAACCAGCCTGGTGCTGAGAATGAGAATAGATATTTGCTTACTAATGTATCTTGTATCCCACATAGATATGATTATACTGTGCCCTGTATTGTACCTGAAGGCCCTTTTGGTTGCTCGAGATATTTTAGTTGTAAAGATTGTTCCCTACCGCCCATTTTAATATGATGCACGTAGATTGTATGAAGTCTGTATGTGTGTGTGTGTGTGTGTGTGTGTGTGTGTGTGTGTGTGTGTGTGTGTGTGTGTGTGTGTGTGTGTGTGAGGGGGTATTTTGTTTGTTTTTTTGTGTATGTGTGTGTGTGTGTTTGGGTGTGTAGATGTGTTGTTTTTGTGCATGTATGTGTGTATATATGTGTGTGAGAGAGAGCTTGTGTTTGCCTTCTAACTCGATATGTTGTGTTGTTTCATGAATTGTTTTAGGACTGGTTTCCAATTGTGCTTACCTTTCTATCTCCCTCATCTTGTTTGGCTTTTCATAGATCTTGGCAGATGTGTGCTTATTTGACCAATTCCCATGTGGAGATGCTTTTTTTTCTTTTTTACTTAAGCATATCCATTGTCTAAAGGGATGTTGTCTCCCTTTCAGTGCAGGTCGGCCTTTGCAGTAGCAGGCAGGGTCAAAGTCACTCACCTCCTGAATTACATATATATGTATAGATATATAGATAGATAGAGAGAGATATATATATATATATATATATATATATATATATATATATATATATAGATATATATATATATATATAGATATATATATAGATATATATATATATATATATATATATATATATATAGATATATATATATGTCGTGTTGCTGGCAGTGTAGAACATCTGCAGTGACCTAAATCTTACAGCTTTCTTTCAAGTTGTAGAATGTTATTGTAGAATGTTATTACTTTCTTTGGTGGAAAGGGGAGGGGGGGGGGGGGTATGAGGGCACCTATTTTTTATTTTGTCAACTTTTGCCAGTTTTGGCATTTCTTTAATTAAACCAGTATATTTCGAAATGATAATGTCACATCTGTTCATCAGAAAGATAATGAGACCCAAAAGACTGGCTATTGATGGAATGGTGGTTCTAAAAAGTGGCCTTTGTTATTGTAAACCTCGGATCTGAAACAGAAATTCAGTTGGGTGGGAGTCTGTGTAGCCTCACTGCTTTTGTCCTCAAAAACTGCTGAAGTTTTTGTCCCACAGATTCTATTCCTTTGTAAATCTTTTATTATATATGAGGCAGCGTGGTGGAATCAGGCTCTCGTCAAATTTTGGGCATGTAGAGTTATTGGTATCATCTTAAAGCTGGTTCACTTGTCTTAGTTTGGTTGAAAAAAATATCCATTTATCTTGAATACAAGTCGAGATATTTGTGAAGAAAGGAGTTGTGGGTCACCTGTTTTTAGAGGTAAAATTTGTGAGAAAATGGTCGCCAAAGATTAGTTATTTCCTTAGCTGAAGAGTCCGTGGTAACTGAACATTTACATTTTTTGTACCTTTAAGAAACATTTTCAGAAAAATCTACACAGAAATGAGTTCTTTAATGGGTATGAAAGGTGTTGAGCCAAAAAACAAAAATTTGAAAAAAATTCTCAAACCTGCGGAAAAATGCAAGTTTCTGCACTTTGATTATTTTGACGAGAGCCTGATTCCACCACGCTGCCTCAGTACCTTTACGTCCATTGTGATAGTAGATGACTCTCATTCATTCCAGATTCTTCCCTGTGCTCGGTGCAGGTTGAGAGGCATAATGTTTTTGGGTCCGTCTTGCCACGAGAACTTACTTTGGGTTTCTTTTTTTCATATTTTTTTAGTATGACTTGAATGTGATCTGTGATCTGTGATCTTCCACTCTGTGTTAGCTGTGGTGGTATTCTCTTATTTGTTTTCCAGCAGCGCACACTGATAGAGGTGGGTGGTTGGTGCATGCTATGGTGTGGTTTGCTCCTTCTTTCCTATCAAACATCTATCATCTTTATCTCCCGTCCTTCTTTTTTGTGTTTGTTACTCCATTGTAACACCTCAAGTCTTCGGCACTTATATGACCTTATTGTGTTGCATGTGCCGTAAAACTCTTACGAAAACTAAATACTGATAGAGACTCCACACAGTACGTCTTAGAAGTGGTAGACATTTATTTCAGCCCCACACTTATAGAGCTCCCTTACAGCATCTTTTAGAAATGTTATCAGTTTATGCATTAGCCACACGGAGGTACAGATCTTATACTACATCATCTTTGAGAAATACTTGCTGTTTATTTCTCTAATTTTATGGCTCATTCGTTTGTTTTCAACCCTGTTGTAGATAGATCTATCTAACTGCCTCAGCTGCAATGGGATGGGATCTCTCGTGTCCTGTTATTGGAGAAGATATTCGACTGATTCACTGTCGGTCATTTGTCTCTTTGTTTAAGTTGTGTGAACAACCGCTTTTCCAAGTTGCACGGACTGCAATTTTTCATGTGATTGTGTTGTTATGTTGCTTATATAGATCACCCTAATCGGAAGATCGTCTCCCCCTCCCCCCTTCCTCCCCTTT